GAAATATCACCATCGCCATGGATATCTTCTTTTTCTTTGTCTATGTGGAGAAATATGGAGGTGATGAGAGTTTTTGAGAGAGGAAAGGTGAATTGGGAGGAGGGCGTATTTATAAGCTAGAAAACAAGAGAGAGGCTGCGGTTTGTGGGTATTTATTGTTTTGATCATAAAGTGTTGCTGATGATAATGACAATAAGCAGTGTAAGTTATGTGAAGACAAGCCAATAACTATGGAGGCCCCGCCGGCTAGGATATGGCGCCAATATGGACGTCCAAATTAGTATTAATTGCACCTCTCAAGAGACTAAGACCACCACGACGTCGACGACGACGAGGACGCCCGAGAACCTAGTTTAGCTAGCTTTCCATTTTCGAGGAGATCCATCTTCCCAAACCAAACAAAGAAAGATCAGCAAGTCTCCATCCATCACCTCAGAAAGGTAGCTAGTAGCATTGGGTCATTTTTTTAGTTACCTGTTGATTGGGTTCGATCCAACTCTCTGAGGGGTTGGGCTGGTTCAGTTTGTCTGCAAGGTTTAGTTTAGAGTTGGATTGTCTTTTAGTTATGTCAGAGTTGGGTAGGATTGGGTCAATTTAGGGTTGTGTCACTTTTTGGCCATACGATGAATAGCAGCAATTAATGATTTGAAATTTAGAGAGGATAAGGTACCGGCAGTTTTGACCTTTTTGTAATGTTTTAAAAGTTTAGATACTATAATGTGAGAAAAAAATATAAAGATATCAAAACATAATTTAATCACCAAAATATTTGACCTGTAATTAAAAATAGGGTAATGTCTAATTTTTATCTAAACTTTTTTTCCAGATTCTTTTATTATCCAAACCTATTAAAATGTTATTAATTAGCCAAATCTTTCAACATGTATTAAAAATATCAACCTTGTTCAATTAGAATAAATCAATTCAACAGCAAATAAACATGAAAACCATAACAAGCAGCTCATCCGCCACAATTAGACAATTGAACGGGCTTTGTGCCATTTATTTTCAGCCTTACATAATGAACGGGTTTAACGGGTACCCATGTTACCCAAACGAGTATTTGGGGTAACCCGCGGGTACCCATTATAGTAATGTACAATCCCAAATCCCATCCGTTAATAATATTATGGGTATTATGGGTACCCGTAACCTTCAAAATACGGGATGGGTACGGATATACCCAAATACCCGTTACTTGTTGCCCACCCCTAAATCCTCAAGGTCGAGCACGCGGCTCCTCAAGGCAGAGCCCGCTGCCGTCAATTTGCCATCACTAGAATCATCTATCGTCAGATTTACTCTTCTTGGACTTCTTCCTTTCTTTCTCCTTCATATCCGAAATAAGTATTGGGCGTCCAGAATCATTGCCTGCATTTTGTTGTTTGACAGTCCAATTGAAGAGGAGGTCGCCGAGGATCCCTCCCAGGATTTGTGTTCGCTGCCATCGAAGGAGCTCAAAGATGGGTAGGTTGAGGGTTGGCAGCTGTGGTATAGGGTTGTGGGGGAGTGGGCTTATAGGGTTATGTTGTTATTGGGTGGGCTGGGAGTAGGGCTGCAAATTAGTTAAGTCGCTCGCGAGCAACTCGGCGTTCGAATCGGAAAAAATTCGTTCGACACTCGATTCGTTATTTAACAAGTCGGCTCGCGAGCCAACTCGTTAGTTAACGAGCCAAGCCTGAGCTAGACCATCCTCAGCTTGATAAGCTCGCGAGCTAGCTTGATTTGGTGGCTTGTCGAGCTAAGCTCGCGAGTTGCCTTGTTTTGAGCTTGTGAAAGGATGAATTACTCTTTTAAACATGAACATTGTCTTCTAATACATATGTGTATGAAATTTAGATGTTATTTATAGTTTCTAGTGTTCTTTCTATCATTTAAATTCTTATGTTTATACATTTTTCCAGAAAAAATGATTTTAAATCGAGCCCATCTTGAGCCGAGCTTGTACTCAGCTTGACAAGCTATGTTAATGAGCATTTATCGAGCTCTACCGAGTCGAGCTCGAGCTAGATTATTTTTATTCAAGCCGAGCTCGAGCTCGAGCTAGATTATAAAAATTCGAGTTCGAGCCGAGCTCGAGCTGAAAAATTAATAAACGAGCCGAGCTCAAGCTAAGCAAAAACTCGACTCGACTCGGCTCGTTTGCAGCCCTAGCTGGGAGTGTGGGCTGAGAGGCTGGGGTTGGCAGTATGTTCGGTATTTCGGTCGGGTAATCGGAATTTGGGTTCAATCGGCATAATCTGGTTTCCGAAATATAGATTTTTGCCTTTCGAATTCCGAACCGAAGTTATATTTTCCGATTTTGGCTCGGTTTTGTTTGGTTCGGCGCTCGGTTCGAGTTTACCGAACCGCCTGTCCAGCCCTAATTGATAGCAAGGGAGACTATATATAGTAGTTGGGTAGGCTTAATTTAGCCCCCCTCTTCCTTCGTTAGTTTAAATTATCTTAGCGTAGATTTTAGCCCCGTTTGTATTTCTCGCTCCGCCGCTAACGCTACAACATTCGCATTTGATGAGATATCTATATTCGGACCGTAAATATAACAAAATTTGGATTATGATACTATATTCTAACTTTTAATGGATGAACCACAAATTTCATATTCTCTTAACTCAAACTTAATTGTCAATTTAATCAAATAATAATAATCGGACCAATATAATTTGTCAAATTCAACAAACCATATTCAATGACGAACACCAGCAGCTTCCCTTTGAATATTTTTTGTGTAGATTTTTCGGACGAAGAAGACCGATCGATACGTCTTGAACATTGGAAAAGAAACACAATAATTCATCCAAATGGATGCTTCTTGAAAAAAGAAGAAGAGTTGCGATGCAATAATAGACTGATGATTGAATCTGAGACGACGCTATCTAAGCCGACATGGATCTTCCTCCCTTTGAATTTCTTGTAACCAAATCGCTACTTCTGGAAACCAAATAGGAAGAAAGCAATTAATAACGAGTACTGCAGCTGCAATCAATTAAGCACCGCCACCAATATCAATCCGTCCCTTGTTTTCTCGATCGATCATGTTCATCGATCTCGCAGTTTTCTTTGGAACTACAATAGGTTCTCGTAGATTCGCAAAATCAGATCTAATGGTTTAATTGAGAAATCATCGATCTAACCTAGATCGTTCGAAAAGGTTTGAAGTTTGCACAGGTCTGAAGACAAGAATTATGTGCTTAACAAATAGGGGTCATCGGGAATCGAACACAAGACCTCTCGGTCACAGAAGACTCTGATACCATGTCAAGAACCAGTTGATCCCAATAACTCGAGTTGTTGGGAGAAGGTTATGTTGGATCTTATACCACTCTCTAACACGCCCCCTCAAACGAAAGCCAACCCATGGGCTTGAAGTTTGCACAGGCCCACCATACCATGTGCTTGAAAGACAACGATTAATATTGGGGCGTGGAGATTCGAACACATGACCTTTCGGTTTTAGGCTCTGATACCATGTCATGAACGGTTTGCGATTAACCACTAACCACAAAGTGCGGTTAACGATTAATCGCGATTAACAATGTTGCTAACCATTCTTATGGTTTGGAGAAATTTTGGTCTGTGGTTGTGAGTTGTGACGGAAGTTAGTGTGGTTAGTGCGGTTAACCGGAGGTAAGTTAACCGCGTTAGTGATTTGTTAAAATGCGGTTTACACGTTGTT